GTGTACTATTCCTTTAAGGAATCTTTTACTATCCGATTATTAATCGATTAATCAAAAAAATAATCAACAGATTGATTAATTTGCTAAATAATTGTTGGAGAAGATTCTTAGGGCTGCTTAGTGGAACAGTGGGTAGCACTGCTGCCTTGCAGCTAGAAGGTACTGGGTTTGATTCCCGGCCCGGGGTCTTTCTGCATGGAGTTTGCATGTTCTCCCTGAGCATGCGTGGGTTCTTTCCGGGTACTCCGGCTTCCTCCCATAGTCCAACAACATGACTGTTAGGCTAATTGGCTTCTCTAAAAACCCTTTAGGTGTGAGTGTGTGTGAATGGTTGTTTGTCCTGTTTGTCTCTGGACTGGCGACCTGTCCAGGGTGTACCCCCCCTCTCGCCCATAGACAGCTGGAGATAGGCACCAGCACCCCTCGTGACCCCACTTGGGATAAGCGTGTTAGAAAATGGATGGATGGGTGAAGATTCTCAGTCATCCAGGTCAAAAGAACATATTAAAAACATAAAAACAAAAGACATTTCTCTTCCCATCCAGGAACCTTTTTCATTTCAAAGTGTTCTTCTGACAATGAACACTCAAATATAGAATAAAACAATAATTGTTAGTTGTTAAAGCTACTAAAGCTTTGAGGAGAAGGTTCATGGAGCCAAAGCTACAGAGGAATGGTAACATCAAATGACATTCCTGAGTTAGAACTGGTGACTCAGATCTGACCTTAAAGCATCTATGAACCTGCAGTAGAAAAGGGATTAATAGAGTCAAATATCTGACAACTAATGTGCATTAAGTTGAGAAAACTTGTATTTAAAACAACAAAAAAAGATTCGTTAGGTTTAAATTTTACAGTTATGCAACAATGTCCCCATGAAACCCAGTGAAGCTTATTGTATTAACGTAAAAGAACAGAAAATGTGTTAAATGAAAGAGCTGCTGTCCCCTGCCTGCTGTTAGCCAGAGATGCTAGCAGGTAAACCCGCCCACCCGGGCTGTTTACATCTTCAATTCAAACAGCCGGAAGCGCAGCTGTCGTGACAATGCGGTAAAACTCGAAATGAAACACAAAATAGGTTTACCCAACTGTACCTGGAGGTTTTAACTAACGAAAAGGCGAGATATTTTCTTATTCCTGCGATAAAACTCACCGGTGCTTTCAGAGCTGAGGATGCGGAGAACTTCCGCCGCCCTGCAGACTGTCAGCCCTCCGGATCGATTGCTCTGGTCTGAGCGTTCAGGCATCAGTAGTCTGAGCATTCAGGCATCACTAGTCAAACCTGCTAACAAACACACAGCTTAAAATCTGGCAGAAACCTTAATACTTTGGTCGCGTTTAGTTAAACGTCTCTATAGTCTATTTTTTATGTTTAAATAAAATAATTTAATAGGTCCTCAGATTCTTTTCTGGTTTATCTTCCTTTTTAATTATTTATTTTTTTATTTTTTTTTCTTGGGGTCATGCGTTAAATAATAATCTCATGATTTGTTTCTGGAGGCTCTTATCACTTCACCCTGTGACTTACTGTTATCGAGAAAAAATAAAAAAGAAACAACTAAAAAAAAAGGAATAGAGCTGCTTTTAAACGGTGGATTATTGTTTCATTTAGGTGAATAAATGCTAATAGTTTAGATTAGATGAGCTTTATTGATCTCACAGCGGAGAAATTCACTGGTCACATATTGGCATAGTAATTAAAGAAGGTGCAAACAAGGAGGAAAAGGTGCATTAGGAATAAAAGTAAATAAAAATAAATGAATAAAAATAAGAAATAAAAAATACAAGGGAGTAACACAGAGATTTGAGGTGACATATGCACAATCAGGATGGCTTGACTTTGAGTTTGTCATCAGTCCTCTGAGAGAAAACTGTTGAATTCTCTTTGAGAGGGTCATCATACTCTCTACTTTCTATTGTACGGTGTTGCAGTAATGGGTGATCATAAATATATATCATTAACTGCAATTAACAATTGTAATAAATAGGAAGTATTGATCAAAATCCTCTACAACATTTGGGCATTTCGAGATCGGCCTGTTTTTTCAGTGTAGTCCTGTCTCTCTGGCTGTGACTGGCTGGATGTGTTCTCTTCGTCCTCTGACATGGGAGCTGGCCCGGAGCTCGTCTGACTGGCTGTGTGTTTCCTGGACGGGGCCTCCTGTGGAGCTGATTGACAGCTGCCTTTTTTATTTTTTTTTAATCTCTGCTTCTTTCTGTATGTCTGTTTCCATCTCCTTGAACCCCAGTCGGCTTTGGCAGATGGCTGCCAACACTGAGCCTGGTTCTCCTGTTAAAAGGGAGTTTTGCCTCTCCACTGTCGCTACAAGCATGCTGGGTGTGACTGATTGTGTTTGAGTCAATTAGTTGATGCTATCAGCTGGTTTTCTTTAGATAAAAAACTTTGAATCAATTTGACTGTATGATCTGGTTGAACTGTAAAGTAGCTTAAGATGACAAGTGTTGTGAATTGGCTCTTTATAAATAAACTGAATTGATTGTTGGGCTACTAGCACTTGCCAATCTTTTTTTTTTTTTTATTTCTATTCATGACTAATAATGTTAACCAAGATAACCATCAACATGACTGCATTACCAGGCAACCAATAATAGAAATAAATGGAGTACAGCCCTCCAGAAAGCCATCATTTTCAAGAAGCTATTTATATTGTTGTTTTGCAACAAGCATAGATTTTTCATTGACTCTCTTTTTTTTAAACTTTTTTTTCAGTGCAAGTTCATAATGATGGAACATGTTTTCTTGGTGGGGAGACAATAGTTTACTAAAGAAAAATAATATATCACCCCTCTCTTTTGGTACAACCATGATGGACTTCTTTCTAATTTAATCAAATGGACAGAATCTAATATTTCCTTGTTGTCATTGGTATTCTAATTTGGAAAATAAAAAGTGAGAAGTTCAATCAATATCTTCTTTTTAACCAGAGGAAGTGGGGCTGTTTTAATTAAGTAGATCTTTGTTAATCTTACAATTAAAAGTATTTCTTTTGATTCATCTTAAAAGCAACTTATAACAAATTGCCAACTTTATAAACTTAGACAGTGAGGTTTGTAAAAAAAATAAAATAAAATAAAATTTATACACTTTGGCCTTTATGGTTAAATTCCCTCCATTTAACTTCTCGAAATAATGTTTTGTGTTTACAGTTTTGTTACCATTTATATAGTTGTTGTTATGAGATGGTTAGTAATGAAGTCCAACACCAGGGGGCAGTGTTTCCCTCCTTAAAGCAAGTCTTGGGATACACAGAATATAAAATAAGGTGTTCTGCTCTGATGTTTTTAGCAAGACTGAACTTTTCTGTCCCTAATGCTTTGGGTACTGCACACCAACCCACCGATACTGGCAGTTTGGTCATTGCATGTAGAAAAAAGCTGATAAGAACCCATTTGGGGACTTAAGAGTTAAGACTGGGTTAGACTTTCAGGAGGAGGAAATGGTTTGGTGTAAGAGTTGAAACACTCTGAGTGTTCAGTTTAGGTATATTTTAACTGCCCTTACAGTTCATTTCACCACATTAAATCACTCTTTGTATAAACCTAAACTGTATTTAATTTGCCATCATAGAAAGTATAGCAGAATGAAAACTGTATGAAAACCCACCGCCAGGTGGCAGTGTTTCTCTAACAAAACCTGCTGAAGAAATTAAAATCCTTGAGAAAAACCCAAAGAAACCTAACATGTAAATTATCAGGTTATTCTTGCCTTTCTGGCCCCCAGCAGGACTGTAATTTAAGATGAAGTTATTCTCTTATGTTGGTTGTATCCTCCCCTACTGTGAGACAACTAAGGCTTTGGCTTAGTTTTAATCAAATTACTTTGACCTATTATACTGGGAACTTGTTACTCAGAGCTCAAATGCTGGCTGGTACACTCTGAAACCTGTCAGGTGAATAACTGACTGTAACACTTAGTAGATAGATCAGTCACACACCTGAAATACAAGTCCTGTAACATCTGTCGCTTGACTTGTGTTGCCAGCTTTTTTTTTTTTTTTTTAAACAGTGTCAGCAGGCAGCCAGTGGTATTGAGGAGGATATCTGGTGGCACCAGCACTGGCCAATAAAAACTCAGATAATGGTATGTGCCAGTTTGGCCAACCAGTGGACTACTCCCATCTCTGGGATTAACGTCTTCTTTTAGTTTGTCTACTTATTTTGAACGACTTGCACCATTTTCATTCCCTCAGCCATAAAATTAACTCATAGGAATTAACTTAAAGTATTCTTTGAAATATAAATTACATGTTCAAATTATTTCTTTACCCCTTTACAAAGCCACATTGTGAATATAATTTAAGTCTAAATATCTTTCCAACTGTAACTTTAAATTTCATTTTTGATTTGTAGTAATATTGAGTAGCTAAAAAAGGGTGGTGGGTCTGGTTTCCTTAAAGTATAAGGGGAGTTTTACAATAAAAGAGTTCGTAAGAAAGGGGGTGGGGGTGGTGCAGGGAAGCTACTAGAGTAGTCACAAATACAATAAGAATTTGGATTGTACACTGCAAAAAATGTAAATCTCAATAAGTCATTTTTTCTTAAATTAAGTGCATTTTTTCATGAATTAAGGAGGTAAGTGAGACACTTTGCCAATGGAACAAGACAATTTACATTTAAAATAAGAAAAAAACTATTGCATTGTCATATTTCAAGTGTATAATATCTATTTATCTTATTTAGAGTTAAAATACTCATTCCATTAGCAAATCATCTTATTTACCTACTCAAATTAAGGGTAAATACACTTACTTTTAGACTTTTTTACTAATTTTTAGATCATTTTTTCAGTGTAGGAGTTAAAGTTTCATTTTAAGAGTAAACATGTAAAACAGCTGCATATATCCACACACCTCTGTTGGAGTGGCATCATAACTGATTCCTAAGCTTTCGTTACCTTTAGTGTTCCACATCTGCCGTATAACTCAGAAAAAAGTGCAGAAAAATAATTTATTTAAAGCTACAAATATGAAAGCATAACCGTGCAATCATGCATAGAGGAAAAAAAATATTGAACCATGTTTTTGTCAGATTTTCTGTTTTATATCAGCATGGCTTATCTTAACTTTTGGATTCAGTTCTGGTTTGGTTACACCAGGGCTTTTTAACTAGCCTTATCCTACAAAAAGGTTGTTTTGATCCTAACCTTTCTGCAAACTAAGGGGCTTCGCTAAAGGATGAAAATGTGCAAATTATAAGAAACTTTTACAGCAGGACTTTATTATTATCACCAGTCATTAGAATTTGAATAAAAATATGCTCTAACAAAAGTTTTATTTCAAGGATGTCGCAGCCTTACGGTACTTTTGACTTATTTATGGGGGAATTTCCTTCATGGAAGTTCTGGTTCCAGTAGCTTATATTACAAAGAGTTAAAGCAAGATGCCATTAAAGATAACAAATATGACCAACAATATAAAAAGAGTGTATATAGTACCAAAAAAAAGGCTTAAAAATTAAAAAGTTGTTACTTTCTTGCATTTTTTTTCCTTAGGTTTTAAAAATTTGCACAGTAGAGAGTTAAGGGAAGATTACACAGAAGTTGACTTAGATTATTGCACAATTACTGCAAAGATGTACTGACCTTGTAAATAAGTAAAAAAGTTACACAGCCTATACACAGTTTTATACATTTAAAGGATTTTAAACATTATAAGAAAAATCTATTGTCTAGTTTCTACACAACTCAATATATTTGGGCTGAGGTCCATTTTCTATTTTCCATTAATTCTGCACCAGAAAAATCAATCCGTTCACCTGTAAAATTAACCCACAAACATTTAATTCTGTGTAATATCAGAAAACACCTTAACATTTCTGATGAAAATATCTGACATGTAAAATAGATCTCATCTAATCATCTCATTTAAAAGCCACAAAGCTTTATCCAAACCTAACCCTGATATCCCGCTGAGCTACTTCATGTTCCTTTGCATGATTTCTGCATGCTTGTGTGTTAATCATGCGACTTATTTTTAGCAGTCGTGACATGATCAGTCCTGCTTTGCAATTCAAGAGCCTCATAAGTGGTTCATTGAAGCGTGACTGCCGGTTCCATTCAGCGGGCAGGAGCCACATGTTACATACATGCTCACAGCAAGCCAGACACGACAGCATGCCTATTGCAGCTTTTACAGGCGTTTCATTCACATTCTCTATCACTATTCACAAATAATAGTGATAGAAAATTCTTGCTGATGAT